CCCAAAGAAAAGGTTTTTTGATTACTCACAAGTTCTTGTAAAACCCTTTTTAGAACTTTTAAGCGAGAAAAAAAATAAATAGGAAGAGAGGAAAGGACTGACGTGAGCAGCGTAACCCAACCAGAATGGAAGGAAGCCTCCCTTTCCGGCTAGATTTTGCCAGGTTAGATTTATATTTCTCAACAATGGACTGCCAAAACTTTTCCCTCCCAGGACTGCCGCCAACTAGTAACCCAAGAAAGGTAAAAAGAAACTGGCCAAGTTTACAATTTAGTATTGATGCTACCAAATTACCCCAGCCATCACCACTGTTAACCGTGTATAGGATACTCTTATTATATATAATTTCTAGGACACTGTTATTATAACATCGAACAGCAGATCTAATATTACTTAGGTATATGTCAATTTTGTTATTTTAGTTTTATATTGTACAAAAAAAAGAAAAGATGACTTTCTCTTATATTGTGAATTAACATCTAAGAGAGCGATTTGTACTTTTCGTTCTTTTGAACCCAATGCCTGTCGGGTCGAGGACAGTTTAAGAATTCAGACAGCAAAAAGGATGTTGGCTGGGTCTCCTTACCATGCCTTGGCCCAATTTTATGGGCCGATTCCAATCCCTTATAAGGTTTCTTTTCTTTTCACCATGTCTGCTTGTGAGGTTTGGTTTGGTTTAGCTGAGCAGCTGGAATATTGGATAACAAAAGTTGGAGCGAAGGGAATGAGGGCAAAAAATAAGAAATTAAAATTAAGAAAAGTTTAGATTGTTGAATTTTGGGTTGATATCAACCAGCAGTCATGTACTATTATTTTTGTTTAATAGCATTTTTTTTGTTCGTACTAACCTAATGTTTATTGGGATCCTTGAACTTCAAAATTTTCTGTTCATTGGGGTCCAACAGCTGAAAAAATGTTCATTGCGGCACTTAAGCTGACGCAGTTACTAACGTGACATTAACGGTGTAAAAAGTTGGTTGTCCTAGATTTTTGCATTAAATTTGGCATTTTCTAGCGGTTGTTCTTTTTCTTTCAAAATTTTCAAGACAAAAGCAATTGCTAGCTACTTGCTAGCTAGTCAATTTTTTTGAATCTTAATTTTAAATAAAAAATAATAATAACTTAGGTTTTATTTGGTATTATTATCATTTTAAGTTTTTTATTTTAGTTTTTATAAATTTTAAAACTCTAAACAAAAAACTCGTTTACTTTCATGTGTTTTTATAACATATTATCATAATTATTAAAGAAATAAAAAAAATAATTTTAATATTATTAAACAAGTTTATCTTTTTGTTTTCAATATTAATATAGAAATTTGTCGTAAACAAATTATTAGTTTTCAATTTTAATAATTGCAAAATTTATAAAAGTCAAAACAAAAATCTAAAAACCACAACTATACTAAATGGAGTTTAAATCATTGAGTTAATTTTAAATGATAAAAATAATTTTGAATTTAAGTTATATATAATTTAAATGCAAATATATTTGAAATACAAATTGTTAGAGTTAGGTATAGGGTTGACTGGTTCACATATGAAACTGGCAAATGATAGAGTTGAGGAGGACACCTGAAAAATATTGTTTTTAAAAACCAATCTATATATCATTTGCAATCTCATGCATGAATCAGTCAACCTATAGATCATTTGCATTTTCATGCATGAATCAGTCAACGATGATCAATAATAACAGAAATGGTATTTATTTTTACTTAGCATAATGCAAGTCATTCTCTCAAAAAAAATTTTTTTTGAATAACTTTTTTTTAGCCATCTTTTGAATGACTTATTTTTAAAACTTAATTTTTAATTAATATTTTCAGAAAAACAACCGTTAGATTAAAATTTTTATTCATGTAAATCATATATCACTACTAAAATTTTGCAGCAACATGGGATTGTTTGTTGCTAAAAATATGTATCAGCAACAAGCCCTATGTTGCTGAAAGTCCTCCAGTACACCTCACCCTGAAAAAGCTGCCCCACTTTCAGCAATATACTTGTTGTTGCTTAAAATAACTTTCAGAAACATACTTCATCTTGCTGATATTTTCCAGTGAATCCTTGGGGAGTTAATTGAGCTCTACTTTTCAGCAACATGTTCCTTGTTGCTGAAATTCACTTTCAGCAACAAGAACTATGTTGCTGAAAACATTAAGTATTAGCAACATATAGCTTGTTGCTATTATTCTTTTCTTTTTACCAACCAAACATCAGCAACAAGGAACATATTGCTAATATTCTTTAACCAGTCGTTGGCCAAAGTTATAATATATATATACACACCGGCTCCAACCACCATGGGAAGCATCACCACTTTCACTTTCAGCAACATGCCCCTTGTTGCTAACATTTTCCGGTCACCACACAACAACCATTTCCCACCTAAAATGAGGTTCACTTTCAGCAACATGCTCCTTGTTGCTGAAAGTGACTTTCAGCAACATACTCTTTGTTGTTGAAAGTTTAAGAGCACCCATACCCCAAAAAAGTGAGATTAACTTTCAGCCAAGAGTCGATTCTTTCAATGGAGAGTCGACTCTATCTGCACTAAAATGTTTCCCTACTTTCTGGAATTTGGGAGTCGACTCTTGGTTTTTTAGAGTTGACTCTGGAACTCACAAGAGTCAAAATTAGACTCATAGATTCTAGTTTTTACTGAAATTCATAATTTTTTTAAGGTTAAATACCCCTTTTAATCCTTTTACTATTGAATTTATTATTGAAAAAACCCCCTTTTTTTTGTCTTTATAAAAAAAAATTCCCTTATTAAATTTCTAAAATTTAGAATGCCACCTTTTTTTTTTGTTAAATTTTTACTGATGTGTCATATTAATTAATATCATATTAACTAATAGAATTACTTGATTATTTTTTATATAAATAATATTATAAATGATATGAAAATTAATTGAATAAAATTTTAAATTCTTATAAATATTTTATATGAATATTTAGTGTTACATGTATAAATTAAAAATTTTATTTTTTAATTTATGAATTAAATGAATTTAAATGAAATTAACTTGAATTTAAATGAAATTAACTTCTTCATCTTCATTCGAGCTCCTCATCCTCTTCCTCCTCCTCCTTCTCATCATCATCCTTAGCTTCCTCTTCATCACCCCTCTTCATCATCTTGGGTTCCCCGTGGAACCCAGATCTGGGTACCTCGAGGTACCCAGATTTGGGTTCCACGCAAAACCCAGCTTTGGGTTCCTCGCGGAACCTAGTTGTTGGGCTCCTCGAGGAACCCAATTTTCTTTTTTAAATAATTGCCGCCGGGATGTCTTATTTTGATTTCATGATTCATTGTTATCATTGTTGAATCCATGGATTGGAAGTGTAAAACTCTTGCTTTTAATCTAACTATTCTTCGTGATGCTAGTGAGAATCA